CTCTGCAAGGCATTCCCAGGACCGAACACACTGATGGGAAGGTAGGGCTCGCCTGAGCCGAAGTAGACAATGGCCAGGAAATACGTCTCCCAGGAAGTGGTTTCTCAGTTGAGGATGGGCGAGGAATCTCCCAGTCCAGGGCACAAGAACAGAGCAGGATGTAGCTGAAGATGCTAGAAAAGAGTTCCCAGGCCCTTATAGACTCCACTGTACCACCCAACATAAAGTCTGTGCAAGAATTGGTTGGCCCAAGTTTCCTGCCCCTGGAAACATTGACCAGGAGCTACAGAAGCCTCAATTGAAGCGACAGGTTTGGCCCAAATGCATTTGCTGGGAACGATTTTCAGGAAGACCTTGGGAAACACAGGGGTTTCTGCCTCAGTTTCATCCACCCCCTGGTCGGAGCAGAAGGATGATGTGCATAGTGAAGGTCTGTTTGCTCTCTGCAGTTCTGGATGCCAGGGTTGGTGTTTGTCCCCTTAGGCTGTCATGGTGAAGAATAGTGTCAGCCCTAAGGTGCAGGCCGAGACGAGGGCACCTGACCCAAAACCTCGTGCTTAGAGAGATGTGAAGTTAATAAGTGGAGCTGTTGGTTGCTATGGCAATGCCTGCCTCCCAGGAGATTGCTGGACCCTGTGGCTCTGGAGGGCTGGGGCAGAAGCGGCCCTATGCAGGTACTAGAGCTCTTTGCCTGGATGTTACTGGAAGACAGGTACCAAGCCATTCCTATAAAACCCAAGCTGAGCATCACCAAAGCTTCCCAGGCTGCGATCCAGGAGGAAGCCGGGTCTCTCAGAGAAGCTGCTGAAACATCTGCTTCCCAAGACAGAAAAGTCACACGGGGGAGAAGGAAATAACGGCATGGTTTGTATCTTGAACCTTATATTAGAAAAATCCCCCTGCCGTCTACTTTAAACCAAACAATAGCTCAGCTTAGTCAAGCGCACCAGCCTGGAGCCCCTATGTTCCTTCAAAGAACCAGAGACCTGGGACCCAACTGAGGAGAGTGGCTCAGAGTGCCCTGGGAAGCTTAGCCGGCAGAGGGCTTCTGACTGAGGGAGAAACAACTGGGCAGAGGAGGGCGAGGGTGCTTGTGCGATTTTCAGTACTGTGTTTGCCTCACTGGGCTGTCCCTGTAGAAATCGGTGCGTTGCTGTATGTTCTGTTGTGTAAATCTTCAACACAAAAAAGCAAAGCTATCCCAAATAGCCTTTGTGATCCCCGGATGTGCACCTAACTGCACATCAGACTCAGTAGGTGCGGTGGTTACAGTTTTAAAAGCTTCCCAATAAAGCACCGCGTGTGCTCTTCGAAGCAACCCTACAACGTGCATCATGTGCCACCCCTGGCAGAGGTGAGAGAAATGGACCTCTAAGAGGCTGAGCGACTTGTCTCAGGCTAGAGCGATGTGAAACACGGGTCATCTTAACAGTCATCTGGTCAGACAGCACCTAGGGCAGGAGACAGGAGGGAGGCCATCTCACACCTCCTCCGGCTTCCCGACAGCCTCGAAGCAGGGCTCAGACAAGCCTTCACCCTCCTCCTTCTTTACCTCGGCTGACACCACCCCTTCCTCCATGGCGCTCTTCTTGCCTGCGGGCTTCGGCCCTTCTTGCAATGGCCACACAGAACTCATGGGCAACGCTCAAGGTTAAAGGGGTTATTAGGGAAGTTAATAACCCAACGCTACAGGACATGGTCACACTAGCCCAGTGGGTTTCTGAGACTGTAACCCTTTATGGGAGTAGAAAGTTTCATCTTTCTTCTGAGGACCGACTGGTGTCTCTGAACTGCTGGCCTAGCAGTTAATAGCCCAACATATTACGCACTACACCACCAGGGTTCCTTACCTTCTAATAAGGTGGAGTCTAATGGTGCCCCCAAGGAAACTAAGCTATGACGTGGCTCACACCCTCTACAAAAGTCAAGTCTTAGAGGCGTGGTGGCGTAGTGGTTGCGAGTTGGGCTGCTAACCACAAAGTTTCAAGTTCAAAAACACCAGCCTCTCTGTGAAAGAAAGATGAGGCTTTCCACTCTCGTAAAGAGTTACAGTCTCAGAAACTCACAAGGGCAGTTCCACCTTGATTGATGGGGTCCCTATCAATTCCATGTCAGTGAGAGTGAGAATCCTGTCCATTAAAATAATAGAGACCACCCTCCAAAATAGGATTAGAGCCACCGGCATAGAGTCCAGATTCACAAACCATCACATAAGGAGTTATGACCTGAAGGCCAGACCAGTTGACTACATCTCCCCGAGGTTCCAGGGAGATAGCTGTGAAGCTTATGAAACAACAGGGGTCCTGCCCCCCAGGAGTTTCCAGTCCAGCAAGGGCGATGAACAGGGAGGAAGTGGCTGCGATCATAAGGCAATGCTGCAGAGACCTGCTTATGATTCTGTGGGCAATCGAGAGAACTAGAGCAAGGACGCCCGCCCACTCCTGGGCAGGTAACACGTGACCTGAGGCTTGAAGGATGAGTAAGCCAATGATACTGAGACGTGGTCTGTAAGAACCACCTGTAGGGATTATTAAAAGAGACTGCTGGGTCCTACACCCCCACCACCACCCCACAGTTTCTGATTCCACCAATCCAAGGTCCAAGGGGAGGCGCAGTCACTTACACCTCTCACGAGCCCCAGCACCAGCAAGTGCTGGCCATGCTGCTGACCGGGTCTGAGGACCATCATTGCAAACCACTGAAGCAAAGCGTCCCCTAGCAGATGGGGGGAGCTGCATTGAGTGGAGCACGCAGGGCAAGGTGGCAGAGGGAGGTGTGGCCAGGCTCTTATGGACCCACTGGGCCAATGCCAGGGCTGTTTCAGGCTCTTGGGCTATTCACGTGCCTGGTCTAGTCTGGGGCTAAAGTGTGCCTCTAGTCCAGAGAGACTCACTCCTCTCCCCTTTCCTTTCTGATCTCCATGTGGCCCAGCAGGGCCTCCCTCGTAACCAACCACTTGCTACTGCGTGCACGTTCTCTTAGGTAATTCATACAGTAACTCGTGAGGGCGTGTCTTAGTTGTCTCGTGCTGTTGTATCAGAAACAGTCCAAGAGGGGGGCTTTAAAGAACAAACTGTATTTCCTCACAGTTTGAGGCTAGACATCCGAATTCTAGGGAAGGCGCTCTCTGCCTGTTCTAGGAGAAGACCCTTGTCTCTGTGGCCTTCGGTCTCCCTAACGTGAGTAGAGTTTAGCTCCCCTCCCTTCTGCTTGCTTGTGCTTGTCTCTAGGCTGCCTTTTACATCCGTCAGGGGTCAGTTCAGACCACGGGGATGGTCTCATTAGCAGAACCAAGAAAGCCTAGTCCCTAAAGGGGTTTTATCCACAGACAGAGGAGGTTAGGATTTCAACACTGGAGGGAACTGACAATTCGGTCCACAACAGACCTTCCCCATTGTATAGTTGTGGACACTGAGGTGCAGAAAGGTGCGGTCCTTTCCCCGAGGAGCTGCAGCTCTAAGAGATGGTGCCAGGTGACACACCCAAGCTCCCCCTGTGCCTCTGCTCTCAGCCTGCCACCCAGGGCGACCCTTTCCAGAGGCATCGCTTCCCAGGGGAGCAAGGAGCAGAAGATCCCAACAGAGGGCCCAGGACCCAAACAGCTAGAGTGGACCAGCTGCCAGCTGGACTGAGCAGAAGAGTTGGTCCCTGGCCAAGGATTCCCCTCTTAGCAGCCTGGGATTGTGGTCACCTGCTGAGCTGCCTTCAGAACTCAGCTCTGCCCGCTCTTGGCTGTGTCTTTGAGCGTCAGGGTCCTCCCTACAGAGCAGGGTCCCAATGCTAACCCGGGATTGTCAGGAGAGGAAATGAAATGCGAGACTCTGCCAGCAAGTATGTGCTGAGTGAGCCCCTGAGGGAGGGAAGGCTGAGCGGGGTCTGAGGGTGGCAAGGACATGGATCTCACGCAGCCCTGGCACTTGTGGGGCCTCTTCTAAGCAACAGGAGAGAGGGGTCGACCAAGAGCCTCTTGTAGCTGTGGGCCTGGGCTTTTCGCTCCAGCACCTGAGGGTTGTCACCCAAAGGTGTCTGACTCTACAGCTGCTCCCTGCTTGGACCAGAGCAGTAGCCAGGGAACCGGCGATGAGCTGGTGCCAGGGCTGAGTCCTGCGGTCAGCAAGCTCCTGGGCATGGTGGAGGCAGCGGGCATGGGGAGGCCCCCTGGAACGGCTGAGTGTCAATCCCAGTAGAGTGGGCAAAGGGCAGAGAGAAGGCTTTAGGGACTGGGGACAGGACCTACACTGTGGAGTTGTGGTCTCAGTCCTGCCCTTGCTCTTATTGCTTTGCCCGAGTTACATGCACGCACTGAGCCCGCTTCCTGGTCCATAAATGGGATGCCACAGTCCGTACTCCAGGTCTACTGGGAAGACGGAGTGAAAATGCAGAAGAAAAGGCTTGGAACGATGAGGCAAAGCAGTTTTCAGTTGCAAAGTTCATCGCACACCTAACACAGCTTGGGACGCACAGAGCACAGAGAATCCGTCCATTCATTTATTCAAAAGCACTTCCCAGCATCGACCCTGGGCCAAGCACTCTCCTACCAGGTGCTGTCGGGCCAATTCCAGCTCATGACGACGCCACATGTATCAGAGTGAAGCTGTGCCCTATGGCTGAGTGGCTGGGCTTAGGGAAGTAGACTGCCAGGCCTTTCTTCCAAGTCACCTCAAAGCCGACCTGCGCCTCCAGCTCACAGGAGAGCCCTGGAATGATTTGTACTATCAGGGAGCCTCAGGCACTGCTAGGCACTGGAGCGCAAACTGGGAGCAGGTGGGCCTGCTTGCCCAGAGCTACCTCTCAGGGGCCAGGCGGCGGGGGGGTCAATAAACAGCTCAATAAGGCAAAGCGGTAGTAAGATTTGCAGACACAACATCACAGCAGAGGCGGTCAGGGAGGTACCGTGACTCTCCCCACGGCAGACGGAGCCTCCACCCCCTCACAGCCCTTCTCGCTGGGTTCTGGCGCCCCTTGGAGCCCGCCTAAGAGTCTCTGTGCTTGGATTCCAGGAGAGCCGCACCCTCGGCTGAATTCTCAGTGGACAGGACGCGCCACTTAATGTCCTTCCTGACCATGATGGGCCCCAGTCCCGACTGGAATGTGGGCTTGTCGGCAGAGGATCTGTGCACCAAGGAATGTGGCTGGGTCCAGAAGGTGGTGCAAGACCTGATTCCCTGGGACGCGGGCACCGACAGCGGGGTGACCTATGAGGTACGTGTGTGCCGGCGTGTGGAGGGGGCCCCCTTCTGGAGTACCCCCCCTGCGTCCAGCCCTTCTCTGCTCACCACCGACACAGAGGTGAATCTGCGTGGGCTCTGCCCTAGACGAATGCAGTCTGGCATGCGAGATCCGCATACAAATATCCCCAGGTGAGCGAACATGGGGACAGATAAGCTGAAACGACCTCTTTGGAAGGATTCAGTAGGAAGCGGTGGCAGACATTTCAAGAGGAGGAGAGAAGGTTGGTTTTAAAATAGTCAGTAAGTCACTTCTAACTTGAAAGAAACCAAGGTTGGCCTTGAAGAGTGAGTAGGTTTCCAACCGGCCACAGGCAGGGCCCAGATTACAAACAGCTGACTTAGGGTCTGTGCTAGTCCCTGCCGACTAGAGAAACAAATCCTGAGACGTTCCTATGTATGTAAGAGAGAGCTTTATATCAAAGAGCAATTGTATAGTGAGAAAACAGCCCAGCTCAGTCCAGATCAAGTCCACACGTCTCATATTAGCCCCTATGTCCAATACTAAATCATAAATTCTCTGACTCACGCAGCACATGCAGGAAGTTCGCAGGCCACTGGGTGGGAAGTCTTGTGGATCTAGCAGCAGTGGAAGCATCTCCATGGCCCTGGCTGCCATCAGCGTGGCTCCATGTGGCTTGTCAACAGGAAGGTGGAGCGAGAGAGTGGGGCTAACCTTCAGTGAGCTATTTATCTATGTTTCGTCTCCAAATGAAGTCAAGCTGTGACTTGATTGACAGGCTAAACTCCACCCCTTCACGCTAAATACCCTCAGCTGACGGGAGATTACGTAACTACCACCTGGTCCATGACAACATTCCCTTGAATGGTATGTAAATTTGCTCCCACAAGAATTAGTCTTGGAAACTCACGGGGGCATTTCTGCCCTGTCCTATGGGGTCCCTAAGAGTCAGAATCAACTCAATGGCAGTGAGTTGGGTTCCTGGAAGGGGGGGGGGTTGGTTTTAACGATTGAATCAACAAATTCTTTAATGCAATCACCTTTACTTACTGCACATGCAAGTTTGAAACCACTGGGGAAACTTGCAGACGAGTAAGAACAAATGTGAGCGCTGCCTACCTGTTCCCCCGCCGGTCTACGAAGTCTTAGGCACACGGTTAGGAGAGGCACTCGTTCATAACTTAAGGACTGCCTGTAGTTCCATTGTCCTTTAGGTCGCGGGGGAGTGGGGACAGAAAAACAAACAAAAAATGAATTGTACATACTCCCGTGCAGCATATGATTCATCGGGACACCAGGGGGCGCTACAGCAAGCTGCTAAAGGCATGAGGCACTCAATCAAGGACTAAGCAAAAGGCAGCTGGGCCTGCGAGGCAGCAGGAAGCTGATGAGCGAGCACAGGGCTAGGGCCAGATTCTGAAGGCTTGGCCAGCCGGTAGAGGAAATATTTAGTGACAATATCTCTCAGATATGGTCAACACACCAACTGTGTCTGAATCTGCAGCCATCAGAAAAGCACTGGGAGGATGATCGACGGTCTGCTCTACACAGACCAAATACGGCCTAACATCTGTTTTTGTAAGTAAAGTGCTGGGAGCCCGCCGAACTCCTTCGATGACATGGGGTCTGTCCAGAGCCGCTTCCACATGACACTGGCTGAGTAGCTGCAGCAGACACCAGATGGCTCATAAAGCCTCAGATCTTTACTCTCTGACCTGTTCTAGAAAGAATTGGCTGGCCCCTAGCTCAGGCAGTTACTAGCTCCAAAACCTGGCTTCTTCGTCTGGCCACAAGTCTGCCGTGTACAGGGAAGACCTTGACGTTATAGATGTAAGTTTCCAAGCGCGGCACACAGCGTGAATAAAAAATGTGAATGAACTGCCGTGGGCTCAATTCCATCTCAAGCAACACCCAGGGCAGAGTTGAGCCACCCCAGTGAGTTTCCAAGCCTGTAATCTTTAGGGACGCAAACTGCCACATCTTTCTCCAACAGAGCAGCTGGTGGGTTCGAACCACCGACCTTGCAGTCAGCTGTTAAGTGCTTTAACTACTGGCCACCAAGGCATGGATAGAATCCCATAAATATAAATAGTGGCTACATTTCTTGTCAAATGCCTATCAAGGTTTTTATTCGGATCTGCATCAGGACTGAATTGTTTTGGGTGGGGGAGGGGGACTCTTTTTCCAGTTCTATTTCCACTCTCTGCAGCTATGTCTGGTTTTGTTTTCTCCACACTGCAGTCTCCCAACAAGCCCACCATCCCTCAGGAGAAAATCCGGCCCCTGACCAGTCTGGACCATCCTCAGAGCCCTTTCTATGATCCAGAAGGTGGATCTATCATTCAAGTAGCCAGAGTGGTCATCGAGAGAATCGCCCGGAAGGTACTGGACTAGAACACGCACTGATATGACCATGAGCATCAAGAAGATGCTCCCAAGCCATCAGGGCCCCGGCAGGAAGCGCCCAGGATATGAGCCAGAGTTTCCAATATGCAAATTATTTCATAGCATGCACAGGAGCAAAATGAACACAGTAGTGGGGCCCAGTCCTCAAATGGATGATCTGATCCACTGTTGGCAAATAGGTTTCATCATGAGTTCCTTAATCAATTGCTAATGTCTGCCATGGTAAGAAAATAGGGTTGGGTGGTACATGAGTCATGGGTTTACCATCCCTGGGTAGCTTCACTGCTTTCCTGGCATTTCTTTCCAGTCAGAAAGCAAATGTTGGCCCAGAACTCTGAAATGACCTCGAAATTACATGCCAGTGGGCATCAGGTTATATATTCTTCCCCATCACCCACCCACCCCCACATACACACGTGCCATTCTTTCTCTGATATGAACTGCCTTCCAAGTAAAATTCCATTTACAGGGGGAACAATGCAATATTGTACCTGACAACATCGATGATATTGTCGCAGACCTGGCTCCAGAAGAGAAAGACGAAGGTATAGTATTTTCCTCGCTCGCTGGAGGCAAAATCAGTTTGGCACAGCCATTTTGGAATGCAATTTGCCAAGAACCAAAGCCATGGTCAATGTGGTAATCCCACGTCTGGGCTTTCTCCTCGAGAGATAATCCCGAACAAGGCCAAGACTTGCTCTGTATAATTAAGAATTGTCAACTGTGTCAGGTCTTTAAAATCCACCAAAGGTAAGAGATAAATGAATGGTTTGTCCACTTCCCCAGCACGGACAGCTCACTGTCCAGAGTGGCGGGCAGAGCTATGGCTTGAGTTCAAGGTTTCTCACAGAATCTGTAAGCAGACGGCCTGGGTTCTCATTCACTGTGACCGTGCAAGAAGCTTGGCGTTTCCACCTTGGTTTCCTTTAACTGTAGCAGAAAGCGCTTCACAGCGCATTGGGAGGGATAATTGGCCTAAACCCTGCAGGATTCTTTGAACAACGCTGACATGTCATAAGTGCTCATTGAGCATCGTTGCCTTTGCTCTTATCCTGGTACCTGTGCAATGAGCCAGGCTGAGGAGAGGACCAGCAAGGGCGTCCCAAGGTCCCCAAGGAAAACATACTACCTGCTCTTTCCAGATGACACCCCCGAAACGTGCATCTACTCCAACTGGTCCCCGTGGTCCGCCTGCAGCTCCTCCACCTGCGACAAGGGCAAGAGGATGCGGCAGCGCATGCTGAAGGCACAGCTGGACCTAAGCGTCCCCTGTCCTGACACCCAGGACTTCCAGCCCTGCATGGGCCCCGGATGCAGCGATGAAGGTGAGAGGACAGCCCAGACCAGGGGCTCAGGAAGGGAGGTTCTCACCATCAGTCAGCATCTGTGGTGGGGCACTAGGACCCTGACTGCAGCTGTCAGGGAGCCCACCGAAGGGAGGCCCCACTTCTAATATGAGTGTCTTGAAGGCTCTGCTCTCAGAGGGATTCTTGAGACTGACGGCCCACTCCTACCCACTGTGGCATAAGACATACAGAGTACTGAAGAGTTAGCAAACACAGGTAGAGTTTTATGCCAGATGATTTGTAATTTCTTGTGTGCACCTGGACTTTCATTCCACTCTCTTCTTATGGAAGTAGGCGAACAGGCTGGGCAGGAGTGAGCCCACATCCATTGCCCTAATTATTCACCATTCATGGGCACTCCGCTGTGTCCTTTCTCAGCCTGGGTCAGAGGCTCGTTCCGGAGACCCATTGGACCTCTTTGGGCCTCTGGGCTGGCTGCAGCACATTCTCAGACCTTTATCTGCAGTGTTCAACGTTCAGACTTGAAGCACTAGTGATATCATGGGGCCTAAGCATCAATTCTGTGCTAAGCTGATTATGTACAAAAGTCTCTCTCTCTTTCTCTCTCTCCCTCTCCCTGGATGGCCCTGTACTCTGTACTCTGATCCTGCTCACCCCCAAGGGACACTGGGAAATGGGAGGGGATCGAGCAGTTGGGCTGGTTTATGGTCGGAAGTAAAAAATCCAAGTAGAGAGAGCTTGCCCCATGCAAGCTGGACACTCACTCTCTGGCTCTTTCTAGGAATCAATCTTAATACCTCTTCTGTCTGCACTCCCATAATGTTGTGGGGTTTGGGTTTTTTTTTTAATCATTATTAACTGTTTTTGCTTATGAAAGGCACTTCAGAGGGGACTGAGGATATTCTTATGAACAGGAGGGAGTAAGAAGGTGTGACTGGCAGGGCACCCTTGGAGATGCTTTCTTTCTCGGAGCTGGGGCTGGGGAGCTATTGGATTGAAGCCTACAGAGGAGTTAAGGTCTCTAACCTGCCCCACCCACAGGAAGCGTCCTTCTCCACCATGCCAGGTGGCGCTGGCAGTTCTGACCTGTTGAGCTGTGACTGAGTTTGTACGTAGGCTCCGTGCTCCCAGGGGCCACTATTGAGTTCTCTTGGGCCCACAAAAGGTTCCCTTCTTAATTATTTGGGGAGGCGTGGAATAGAAAGGAAACAGAGACCCATTTGGATATTCTAAAGGAATTATTTTGGTAAAACAAATGAGACTTTAGCTCATTTAGTGTCTTCCTAATGACCTTGGCCACATCCTTCAGCCCAGGGCTTGTCATCCCTCACCTGACTTAGATGACGGTCTCTCACCATGTCTGTCCATCTTCCAATCCACAGGCAAAGAGCTGATCAGGTCACTTCCCAGCTGAAAACTCTGGGGCTCCTTTTTCTCATTTTACCAAGGTCCTAGGCCTGCCATGGCTTATGCTAACCACAAAATAAGCAGTTCAAAACTACCAACAGTTCTGCAGGAGAAGGATGAGGCTTTGTACTCCCATAAACAGTTATAGTCTCGGAAACCGACAGGGGCAATTCTACTCTGCCCTAGGGTCTCAATGCATCGCTATTGAGTCAATAGCAGTCAGTTTGGGAGTTTTGAGAGACTTGCCCTAACAAAATACCATCGACTGATTGGTGGCTTGTAAAACCAGTTAGTGGCTCAGCCTTCTAGAGGCTAGGGGTCCCAATGCAGGGTGTGGGCAGGGCCTTGTTCTTTCAGAAGACTCCGGGGGAAGAGCCTTTCTTGTGTCTCCCAGCTTCAGGTCTAATCAACGTTTGCCTTGGCTTGCAGCTGCACCCTACCTGTCGTCCCCTGCCCATCCTCCCGTCTCTCCGCATGCCTCTGCTCTTTCATGGGACTGCTCACACTGGGGTAGCACCTGGTCTGATCGCAACGGACTCAATGTGTAACATGTTCAAAGACACCCTTTCCAAACAAGGGCATGTTCTCCAGGAGACAGGACTGCCATAAATCTGGGGGGACAGAGTTCCATCCATAGCACCCATGAACAAACTCCTCGACTTAACTCACTGGTGAACTAAGTCCCTTGGAGTATATAGTTCCAGGTAGAGGCCTGGCCAAAAATGAGCATTCTTGCACATGCAGCTAACACAACTGGCCTTATACTGCCATGCTAAAGGCCACATGGTCAGTGAGAACAGCAGTTTGGGGACACTAAGCGCCTCTCAAATCCAACCACCTCTTTCCAGAAGGTTCACGCAGGATACCATGATAGTATTCTGCCTCCCCAGGGTAAGGCCGTGCCAGGTCATGAGACTTACCATATTCCCAACTCTGACCCACTGAAACATAATGATCTAATCTAGCTGCACACGTAGCCTCTAGTCTGGCCGGCCTAATCCCTGGATCCAACCTGGGGATTCCAGCTGCGATCGCTGACAGCATCTCCAGCAGTGTCTAGTCACACTGTCAGTAAATTAAGTAACAAGGATGGACAGGGCATTGCATAAGTGCAAGGAACAATGTGGGTGGACATATGCAAGCTGGCCTCACATACTGACCTTAGCCCTGCTTTCCAGCGTCATCTCCCAATATCACAGATACATATGACCTCTGTACAGGAGGCTCTGCCTGCGCAACTCCCTCCACCCTAAATGCCATAACCTTCCCCCAACAAAAGTGCACTCAGATGTGCCCTCTTCTAGAAATCGTTCCCAGGACTCCCGGTGAGGGCTTCCCCCTCCTCTGTGTTCCCTGGTGCCCTCAACTTCCCTCTGTTGTCGTCTTTTCAATACCTAGATTTATTATCTGTTGATGTGCCCATCTCTCGGTCTGTCTGGAGTAAGACAAGATCCATATCTGACAAATCTTTGTAACCTCCGGGCATACCACCAAGTATCCAATCGCTTTCTATTGACATCAATAAGTGGGTGAAGGGATAAATAAATGTATACACGACATAAGGTAGCTTCATGTCACTCTTCTTAGAACTGAACAGGCATGCATGTGCATACACACACCCACATAATACACATACCTGTGTATTTCTACCTGGAGCAGCTCCTCACCACCACCTCAGGACTAGGACCAGCAAGGCACCTGCTGAGAGCATGTGTTATCTTTTCACTGATCATCCGAGTGGTTTCCACAGGACTGTAGCCTTTGCTTACACCCACCGATGGAAGCGAAGTCGAATCGAAGCTGAATGGTCCACACTGTCAACACGGAGCCTGGGTGGATCGCCCTCCTCACCTCTCCTCGAGGTCCCCCCTCCTGGCCCACAGGGACACTCCCTTCCTGTTTTCCATCCCCCACTTGTTCTCCATCAGCACCTGGAGTTCCCAGCCTCCACTGAGTCCCTGAGAGGTAGCTCTTTGGTGTAATCTGGTACGGCCTGAGTCGTTGCGTCCTTATGGCCCAGGGTCAATCACACTCTCATTATCATGTGTGGATTTTCCTCATTTCTTTTTCTACAATTGGAAGTGTCAGCCATTAAGTGTCAGACAAAATTTAGTCTCAGGTTTCGCTGAGCTGCAGGGTCTACATTATACCTATTGTTGCCGCTGCTGTTGTTGCCCTTGTTAGGTGCCCTCGGGTCCGTTCTCACTCATTTCAACCCTACGTGCAACAAACGAGGACTGCCTGGTCCTGGGCCATCCGCACAGCCATTCTTATATTTGAGCCCATGGCTGCAGCCACTGTGTCAATCCATCCCCTGTGGGTCTTCCTCTTTTGGGCTGACCCCCTCTACTTTAACAAGCATAATGTCCTGTTCCAGGAAATAATCTCTCCCGATCACATGTCCAAAGTAAAGTATGTGAGATGGAGTCTCACCATCCTCGCTTCTAAGGAACATTCTGGCCGTATTTCTTCCAAGACAGATGTTTGTTCTTCTGGCAATATTCTTTGCCAATACGAATTCAAGGGCATCGACCCTTCGGCAGTCTTCATTATCCAATGTTCACATGCATATGAGACCGTCGACAATGCCATGGCTGGAGTCAAGTGCACCGGAGTCCCCAAACTGACATCCTTACTCTTCAACCCTTTGTAAAAGCCTCATGTAGCAAGCAGCTTTGCCCAGTGCAATACTATGTCTGAGAATAGGTAAAATTTCCCCCAGTATTGCTTTATAGAAATTTCGACAATGATATCTATGGTGTCTAATGTGGTAGCCATTAGCCACACATGGGGAGCCATGCTGACTCTATGGTTAAGCTCGTGGCTGTTAACTGAGAAGTTGGCAGTTAAACAGCACCACCACCACCCCAATTAGCCACTCCCCAGGAGAAGAATGTAGCAGTCTGCTTCCATAACCAACCCTGTAGGACAACTCTACTCTATCCTATGAAGTTGCTCTGAATTGGACTCGACTGGACAGCAATGCGTATAACCACACACGGATAGTGAGCACGTAAAATGTGGCTAGCTAGTATCTGAAGAGAGGAGCCATGGTGGTGTAGTGGTTATGCACTGGGCTGCCATCCACATGGTAGGCAGTTTGAAACCCCAGTATAGGGACTTTTCCACTCCGGTAAACAGTTACAGTCTAGGAAATCCACAGGTGGTCGCTATGTGTCAGCACTGACTTGTTGGCAATGCTAGTATCTGAAAAAGTAAAGCTTTTGCTTTAAGCTTTTAAATATACAATAATATACAAATGGTTACGGTTTACCTTAAACCATAAATACATTATATTCTATAACATATATCATGTTGTGTATGTCTACTGTACCTATAAGCATGAACATACACATATATATGCATATATTTCTCTTCTTAAATCATCCTTCCATCCATCCAACCAACCAACTCTGAAGCCTCTTTTCACTCAGGTTTCTGTTCATGGGATGAGTAGCAATCCCCAGTGCCTAGCATCTAAAACAGGGGCTTTTCTCTTAAAGAACCTTTCTTGGTTAAGAGACTTAGACCTTTTCGCTTCCATCCTCAACGGCCGGCCTGCCCCTGAAGGCCAGCTGGCTCCTTTCTGGGCCTGGATTCCAGCTGCCCCGTCCCGGCCCCTGTGTTGCAGATGGCTCCACCTGCACCATGTCGGAGTGGATCACCTGGTCGCCCTGCAGCATCTCCTGCGGCATGGGCATGCGGTCCCGGGAAAGGTACGTGAAGCAGTTCCCGGAGGACGGCTCCGTGTGCACACTGCCCACCGAAGAAACAGAGAAGTGCACCGTCAACGAGGAGTGCTGTAAGTGGCCGGGACCCCCCGGGGTGGGGTGGTCATGCGGGGACCTTGGAGGGGAGGCCGGGGGCGGGGGTGGGGGGTGGGGGGTGGCGAGACTCCAGCTCCGCGGGCCTCCCAGCTCCCAGCAGCTGCCTGATGACCGAGTGGGGCGAGTGGGACGAGTGTAGCGCCACCTGCGGCGTGGGCGTGAAGAAGCGGCAGCGCATGGTCAAAATGAGCCCAGCCGACGGCTCCATGTGCAAGGCGGAGACGACGCAAACGGACAAGTGCATGATGCCCGAGTGCCGTGAGTGGGCCCGGCTGGCCGTGGGACGGCGGGTGGGCCCAAGGGTGGAAGGCCCTCCTGGTGGGCACGGGTGCAGCGGCAGGTGGGCCCCTGCACTAAGGCAGAAAGAAGCCACAATCCACCTTGCCTGGCACAGCTGAAGCAAAACGAGGGTCAAAGGGGCGCAGGCATGAACCAGACCCAAGGAGAGCGGCCCCTTTTGGGGTACAGTGTGAGCACTGCTGGAGGGCAACTGGGACCCCTGAGCTGAACCCGGAGTATGTGGGTTCAGCCCTGACAGTCTAGTGGTTATGCATTGAACTGCTAACCGCAAAGATCGGCAGTCCGAAACCAGGAGCCACTCCTCGCGAGAAAAATGAGCCTTTCAACTCCCATAAAGATGTAGGATCTCGCAACCCGCAGGTGCAGGAACACGTACAGGCAGAACAAAAGCTCCCCTGGCCGTCCTGGGCCCCCACTTTCATTCTATATTAGTTTTCCCACCCCATCGATGCTCCAGCAGGTCCAGCAGGATGCCCCAACTCTATGCCAAGTGCCCAGAGACCCACATATCAGGATGCAGCAGCGCACGTGACCATACACATGCTGGGAATCCCAGTACCAAACTGTCCCCCAAAGGCTGAGTGGAACCTCTCTCTTAGGGCATGATCTCGTGCAGAGGGGGCTATTTCGGCCTGTAGTAAGTTCCTACTTGACCCACAGTGGGGTGCAAGTGAGAGCTAACCCCACTGAGCCATGGGAGGGAAATGCGGGGTTAGTGACAAGAGCTGGTGGACCATAGACCTCGGACCGCTTCATACTCCTTGGTGCGCACCCTGTATCTGAACCCTCGAACCGATGCCACTTTACTCCACGAGGGGCCAGGGCTGGGCAGAGGCAGGAGAGGGCCGTGCGGAGCTAAGGAGCTGGAAGCGGCCGGAGGAGCATGTTCTCAGCGGCAAACCTGGCTCTTGGCCTAGACACCATCCCCTGCCTGCTGTCTCCGTGGTCCGAGTGGAGCGACTGCAGTGTGACCTGCGGGAAGGGCATGCGGACCCGCCAGCGGATGCTCAAGTCTCTGGCAGAACTCGGAGACTGTAACGAGGAGCTGGAGCAAGTGGAGAAGTGCATGCTGCCGGAGTGCCGTAAGTCCCTGCGCTCTGGACACGCCCCCTCTGCCCCCCC